CAGTGTAACTTTAACGCATACACTCAATGACGTTTCACCGTTGTTGTTTATGTTTACTGCAGCTTTCATTTCTGCCTAGATTTTCGTTTTCGATAGCTCTGATCGATTTCAACTTTGGCTTTTCATCATAAAAACGGTACGTTCCCCCAGCAGCAAATTTTTCCAGCTGCAGGCTCATGGCGAATCGAGCGTAATACGACCACGGAACCATCACTCTGAGACTTCGTTTACAGGGGCGGCATAGTTAGTCGATTCCCATTCCATCGGAGGACAGCCCGGAAAAAAGTAACCATACAATAACCATAAAATAATATAAAATCACAACACAATCTATTGCCAACAATCGATCCTATTGTATGTATATCAAACAAGTAAATTTAAAATATTGTTATTACAATAGATCTACAATACAACAATAGAAAAACAATAAAATTAATGGTAAATGACTCAAGTTTATTCGGGAAAAAGTGATTTTCTGTACGGTTAAGATACATAACAACCCCCTTATTCTATTGTAGATTTCCACATTTACCATAGATTCTATTGTGGTAACTATAACTTCTATGGTTATTTTATCGTTGCTGACAATACCATTTATTTTAAGTACAATAAATTCTATTGTATGGTTACAATACATTTCATTGTACCAGTATCGTTTTTTTTTACGGGAGCACATTGGTTCACAGACGATGAAGAATTCGTGGAAATTAATGACTATTTCCTGGGAACGGTCCAGAAATTGGAGACAATCAGCCACGGACCGAGTGAATTGGCATTGTGATGCAGGTGCAATCCTGAGGGATGTTGGACCAGGATAAGTAAGTAAGTAATACTTCGAATACCATCAGATGCGCCGATTATGTGCACTGAGATCAGCTAACAAATAATGTCGAAATTTCGAGAACAAGGAGCGGATTTTGGTGCCGTCCCCTAGGTTGTTGGTCTTTATTTGTTTTGTATTACTTCTGCGTCAAAAGTCAACGATTTACATTGTTGAAAGATGCTAATTTCGAATAACAGACTTAAGTGGTAATTTTCATACGATAGATGAGGATATGAAAGTATAGATTTGATAGTTCCGTTAGAGTATAGCAGTGAGAAAATTGTATATAGAGAATAGACAACGAGGTAGGTACAAATCGGTTTGATCATCTCTCTTTACCAAACTCCCCCGTTGGAGAGGGATGGTGAGGGGTATTTCCCCCCGCCACCACTGGCAAAAGATGATTACCGACTCGTGCATGTACCGACGATGTGGTTGAAACATTTCTATCGATTGTACCGCACTCAAGTTGTTATCTGAAGGAAGGCATCCAGTCGTAGGTTTGGAAATTGCAGCTATTGTTACCTCTACACGGTATGTGCTCCTGTCATCGTCGACATGACGATCTCGAGGGGACACCAATTACTGTCATTGGTCGAAAGGTACAGTAGCAGCCCCTACTCTACGAGATTTTTATTCCTAAGAAAAAGAAGAACTTTTCACTGATCTAATTTCATACATTTTTTAGGTTAGTCAGAGGAAAATAATAAACAACTTTACGTGGCGATACATCCGCTAGTGTGCGTACGTTAAACGTCACTAATCTCTATGGCATCATGAAATCAGTGCGTGTAAATGTCCAAATCTAAATCAAAACAAAAGCAACAGATGAGTTTCGCTGTATTGAAATAAAGTATTTACAATAAAACTTTCATATTCCGATTTTTAATTGATTTTTTTTTAACTCAGTTTAAAATATGAGTTTAACATGATTCCAGTTTTGTATTTTGCTAAGCAGCTCATTTTTATTGATAAAGCTTGAATGTAGTCGTATTTCTCTAACAATTCCATCGTTGAAAACATAGTTAATCATTGAATAATTGAGTAATTCCAAAGTAATTCCTAAAATTATTCAAGTAATCGTAGTAATTTCGGTAATCGAGAGTAATAAAAGTAATTTCAAAGAAATAAAGTAATTTTAAATAACTTATAAGTAATCCGGTAATTAACGATGGTAGATACCCCTCGCTCTCGGTTAATCTTTGACTGTTAGTCGATTCAAGAGGATTCCAGTTTTCAAATAAAAAGGACCAAAATAAAAATCAACACTTTCTTTTGTGTATTTTATTGCATGGGTAAAAAATAATGAAATTTTGATTAGAACTAGTTTCGAGTGTAATGTTTACATGTGCAAATTCTCGTTACAACCTGTCGAGTGGTTATCGAGATGGCTTCAAACCAAGAAGTGCTTTGACAACAAATTATGGGAGCGGTCGTAGAAAATCCAGACCAGTCGCACAGGTGGATCGTGAAACAGCTTGGAATGGATAATTCGACCGTGTTCCGTGTGGTAAAATCATTCAAGGAGACCCAGAAGACCCAGCGGCGAGCTGGCAGCGGAAGCAAAGCGAAGACGACCGACCCCGTGAACGCAAGGATGGTGAGGGATTACTTAGCGTAATCCGAACCTTTCGACAGTGAGTATTCATAAGGGCGTATACGCGATGATCGATTCTCTTCATCGATTGTCTCTTTTGTTAATAAATCGCTAGATTTAACGTTTGTCGGTGCGTTTGCTTTTGCTTTTGATAGGCAATGCAACCTGTTACAACTCTACATTGAACAAATTCTACAACATTGTTTCGCTTAGCTGTAGCAATGCAAAGAGAAAATCGATTAAGAGAATCGATCATCGCGTATACGCCCTTATGTATGCTCACTGTCGCTTTCAATTTGGGACTTGGCAAAGAAGGTCAATTCCGCCTGGTTCGTCCAGCAGACAATTAAGCGGGCCGGACTTCATGTCTTCAAGGTATTTAAGCAAGGCGCCTAACCAAACCGATAAATATAATACGGTGGCCAAATCCCACACAAGGAAGCTGTACCGCGAATGGTTGGTGCAGCCGAAATGCATCGTAATGGTCGACGAGACGTACATTAAAGCGGACGCCAAGAAAATCCCACTTTGATGTTCCGAAAAAGTTCCGGGAGGGGAAGGCCGACAAATTTGCCAAGAAATACTTAGTGTGGCAGGCGATCTGTGGATGCAACAAATTCAGCAAGAAGAATGCCTCCAGAAGCGCCTGCTGTCCTTCCTCCGGATCTGGCATCGTGCCATTACGCGAAACCGGTGATGGAGTGGTACGAAGCCAACGATGTTGTTTTTGTGCCGAAGGAGGCAAATCCGCCAAACTTGCCAGAACATCGCCCAATAGAAAAATTCTAGGCGATTATGAAGGGCAAGCTTCGGAAAACAGGAAAGGTCTTTAAAAACGATAAGGATTTGAAGAAAGTGGATGAAAGTGTGTAAGAAAGATGGCGCAAGTGTTCAACAGGATATGATGGGTAACGTTGAGTCTAAATATTCGACTTAAATAGAATGTTTGGTGATCATTCTTGTCTGTTGCTTTTTTTTTAGTACAGTCTTTATATGTAATCCAACTTTGTTCTATTAAAAAAACTTCTCAACAATTAAAAAAAAAACCGCTTGAGTTTTGAACCCAAAATTGTCAAAATCGTTAAAAAGATCCTCCAAAGCAAAAAATCAAGTGCAATTTGGCATAAATTATGATTTTTAAATATTATCGATCCCAGAGCCTAAAACTTTGATATTATCATCAATTCTGCAAAAGACACTAATCTTTCATCGATCTGAGCGTGAAAAGCAACATGTTAAAATGGTGTAAAATAAAAATAGTCATTTCGCATTTGATACTCAAAATCATCCGCACCAAGGTAATTCTGACAACATCACAGGCGATAATAAATACGCATCTTTAAACGAACAAAAACAATTCAGTGCCAACATTTCAAAGGGGCGTAATTGATTTTGTGTTAATTTTTCACGAGAAATCAAAGGCTAAAGCCATTGTTTACAAATGCAATTACGCCCCTTTGAAATGTTGACACTGAATTGTTGACTTCGAAACTCTGCGGTTGCCTTGGTCAAGAGAATATTATCATGTCAAAATCCGAATTTATGATTCCTCGATTACCTTTTCAAAGGGACGTATCAGCTTTTGTAAACAATGTATTTGATCGTCGATATGGCGTAACTGGTAGCTCGCACACGATTACTAACACCACTAGCAGGTAGGGGAAAATTTGCCTTCTATTTCATCTTATTTGAGTGTGGAAGAGATTCATTTTATCAGCACTGCTTGTTTTCAGTTTTGGTGAGATCAAAACTCACAGCATACAGTGATCCATTTATAATAATCACACAAAAGTTGTGAGCAATTAACCACTTCATTCGAGCTGTTAAAATGACGTTTACTACCACTTGAACTTTGAAACAAAACATTATTTGGAGACTTTTTCTTCTAGAACCACGTGAAAGGTAGCCAACATTTGTGCGTTTCATAAAAAAAATATAAATTAGTTGGTCCAGTTTTGTGTAATCGCTCCAGTTTTGTAGTCACATTGTGTAGTCACGCAAAAACTGCTTGACAAAGTGGTTAATTATTTCTTGAAGAATTTCACTACCCTAAGCAAAATCAAGAGGAATACTTAACGTTTTGCCAAATTTTGGAAGTAAAGTTAATTTGTATGATAGAAATAGCAACATAATTGTACAGTGAATTCCAAGATTTATTTTTTGCAAAATTAATTCACTCAACTCACCATATCTCAATAATGAAGGGACCATCGAGATATGGAAGGATCAAGATATAGAACAAGAAAAGTCTACTAGAGAATTGAAGGGACAGAGATAACCCTCGACAAAAAACAAAAAGTGGTCACATATCGAGCGATTTAGAGTATCTGATTTCGATAAAAACAATCGATCGTTTCCTACTCAAGCTATAACTTCACGCCCCAGCAAGCAGCAATTCCCTCGCTCTTCTGTTTTGATCCTCATTTTCCGTCCACCCGTTTCGTTGATTGCCCTATCATTTTCACCCGTAACGACAAATTTCACTGATCACGTCAACACGTGCTGTGCACACACCCCCCTCTAGACACATTTCATTCATACAACAGGAAATTAAAATTTAAATACCATTTAAATGCCTACCTCTTCGGACGCACCCCGGTCCAGTCGTAGTGGCACCAGCCGTCGGGGTCCTGCTACAGCTGGATGTAACGATCGTCAGTTCTTGCGTTTTCGTGTGATTGTTCCCATACTGAGGGTGAACCGATTGATGCCCGTGGAAATTACCCTGATGATGCTGATGATGATGATGTTGCTGCTGCTGGTGGTGGTGGTGAAGGGGCGTATGCTGATCCTGGATATGATGTTGCTGATGATGATGATGATGATCTGCACTGGCGATCGGAAAAGCATTGTGACTATCGGTTGGAATTGTCAGCGTCGGCTTTCGGTCAAGATCCAGTAACTCTTGAGTGCTGGTCCAGGTAGATGAACTTATGTCGGTCAAGACAATCCCATTGCTTGAGGTGGAAATATCCTGCGAAATCATTTGCGATTGTGGAACCGGGATAACCGGGACACTACTTCCACTTGACACTTCGTAGATGTAGCTCAACGGTTGTTGTTCCTGTTGAATGTGATTCTGGTTGTTGTTACCATCGCTGGCGGCAATGACTTGGAATTCAGGCGTCGGTCCATGAAACGCCTGCCCAAACCCGTGAAAATGATCAACATCGTGCAGTTGCAGGTGGTTATCCTTGCGAACCTTGTGAATTGAGTGTCCTTGCTCTTGATATTGATAGGGCAGAAACCGTTCTTCACTGTGTTTCCGTTTGAGCTGACGCAATGCAGGATTTTGGTCAGTATGGTCTGTTTCGTACTGTTCGATGGGAGCCACCACCGACCCGGCGCCACCACTGCCACCAACCACCGCCGTAAAGGGTGGCGTAGAACGACGCATTTTCACTTTCACCACTCAAGCACTTATTTTTGATTCGATACTTTGATTTGACAGATCATTTGAGCTAAATTTTTACAGCTAACTTGGATTAATTCACTTCACCAGCAATCGAGCTACCCGATTGCTTTGATCAGAAATTAAAACGCATTTTTCAAACTGGCCACCATGTTTGATTTCCCTTTCTACGTCTTCGCGAGCTCAGTACTTGATAAGGAATTTTCCACCGTCTTAGCCTGAATTCAAAATGGCCGACGTCACTAATCGAATGAGGGGCAGCTACTGATCGATTTGCTTCAACTACTAAAAACCAAAACGTTTGCTTCTAGTAACTGCTGCTTTGACGGCACTTGTAAAGTCCTTTCCTTGCTGCTAAAATTCACCAGATGGATTTAAAAAGTGACTTTCTTAATTACAGGTCCCATTCGGGATCCAGGACCTCAGGTTTCCCAGGCAGGTCGAACCGCAACTGGCGAGTGTCTGTAGGAGACTAAAATGGGTTTTCACCAGTACCTATGCCAAATGAGTGGGTAGGTGTCCTGAATCCGCGAGCGCGAACTGAGCCTGTATGTAAATAGGTATCCTTTTGGTGTATTTTCACGTGGTGTTTATTTGTATTGTCTCTCGGTGGAAGCAGCGGTGAGAACTAGTGAGGTGGAAAAATAACCGTTTCCGGTTGAGTGAGCTCGCACGCTAGCGAGTGAACTCAGGACTTTTGTCCCAGCAACAATACGTTGCATTAAAGTACGGATAGATGCTACAAAACGTTCTCTGGGATAAAATGGGAGACTTGGGAAAAGCGATGAATAGCATTAAATTATCAGTAATGGATTCATAAAATTTTCTTCAGAATTCCCTTGAAACTCTTTCTAGAATTTCTTATGATTACTTCTTGTAGTGACTCTTATGAACTGTTCCCAGAATTTCCATTGCTTTTTCTTTAGAATTCTCTTGAAATTCTCCTCAGAACATCCATGGTGTTCTACTAAATTCTTCTTAGAATTCACTTCTTCTGCTCCTAAGAATTTTCAAAAAAATTTACCCAAAATTTCCTTTATATATATTTTTTTTTGAAATTAAACTACTGCGTCCATTGTTTAGCTTTTGAATTCCTTGTATATCCACTGAATTTCTTCATAAAGTTCAACTGAAATTGTTTTCAGAACCTGCTTGGAATTCATTATGGCATTCCTGAAGTACCGTGGACTCCCGGTAATCTGACCGTTTTTAATTTGAACCCCGCACACCGTGTAAACTAAAAATAGCTCTTACGTCATTCAGCAAATTAGGCTACCAGAAATATGCATTTATTATGCTGATAGGGTTACTAGAAGTGCAAATTAAAAATGAACCCCGTTTAATATGCTTGAAGTGACGTCTAGATTAGCGGGGGTCCACGGTATTCTCTTAAAATTCTTATGGAATTATGCTTCGAATCTACCACTATGAATTCACCTCAGAATTTCCATGGAATGCTTTCAAAAACTCTATGAAGCTCTTCTCAGAATTAATCATTGAATTCCCATGGAATACTCATTAGAATTACAATGGAATTCTGCTTGGAATTTCCTTGTAACTATCATAAGAATGAAATTAGTGAGAAGACTGCACATTGTAGTCAAAATACGTATCTGTCATGCTTGGAAAAAATCCGATCCCGAAAACGGGAACGGACCGTGAACTAAAAATCACGGCCAACTATCCAGAACAAAATTTTCTCAAATATACACCGTGAACTATGGTTCACGGCTGTGGTTCACGAATATGGGAACTCTTTTTTTCCCGTGCGATACCAAAATAAATTAAGTGGAGTTAAATGGAAGATAACCTTTTTTTTTGCTGTTTTATTTATCATCAGAATACTAGTGAAATGTTCTTAGGTTTCGTAAGAGTTAATGTTCAAAAATGCTTTCGAATTATTTTGTAGTTTTCATTTGAATCCTCATCAGCATTCTCTTAAAATTCAACTCAAATTCAACATTTCCTAAGAACTCTCTTCAGAATTCACTTAGATGTCTCATCATCGACTGCGCGAAAATGACTTCGGGAATTCTAAATACCAGACAGTTGATAGCATCTTTGGTGAGAAATATCTGCGCTTTCCAACCCGTGCTGATCTTCAGAGGCTTTTGCAAATCGGAGAATATTGGGAATTTTAGCTGAAGATATAAATTTTCCTAAAATTTTTAAAACTTCACTGGAATTTCTCTGAAATTATTGAAATTTTTCTGAAGTTTCTGGATGCTCGCTGAAGTTTTTGAAACTTCATTGAAGTTTTTGGAACTTCGCTGTATTTTGTTTTGACCTGCGTTTAAGTTCTTGTATCACCGACAAACCGACATGAATAATCATACAAATAACAAAGAAATTTCTGATCAAAGCAAAAAACTGACATCTGCCGTAGGGTTCGCGGAATATATTTATCCTAGCCGCGAACACGGGTACAAAATTTATGAGTTGGTTCGTGTCTAATCTGTTTAGGACAAATTATTTTTTATCTAGAAAAAACATTTTCATGGTTTTGACAGATGGGATCGCTGCACATTTGAATCGGCCGTTATGGATTCTCGATCAAGAGTTAAATTTAAGTTTCATGTCGGTTTGTCCATAGAGGTAATTCTAACACCAGAAGGTCCCAAAGAAACGTGAACAACTTTTTGGCTCAGCTGTGGTACTCTCTTCGGTCCCAAGCTAATCGATGCACCCCTCGAAACATAGAAAAATCCACTAACCCCTCATTTTATCTGTCAAACTGTCATAGCGAATCAAAACAAACATAGTGTAGAACGAGGGGGACGACTCTATCTACGCTGCAGGAAAGATTGTGTTGTGTTGTGGCTAGCTGCTCGCACGCTGAGTAGATAGAAAGAAGATTGATGACAATATTGAAGATTTCCTTCAAAAAGATGATGCGCGATGTAAGTAGATGCGAGAAATGCAAGAAGATTTTTCGAAGATTGATTCGCTAGTGTGAGATTTTTTGAGTATCTAAAATTGAGATTTAGATGTGTTGCCCCCCTCGGTGTAGAACTAGAAATTCGACTGGAATGGGGTACGTTAATCGATTTGCTTGGGACCAATAGACTAGTCAAGTAGTGAGCCAATTTAAAATCTTTAGTTTCCACCGGTTGGTTTGTCGGTGTTTGTATCTCAAATGAAGCATTTGAATTACGCATAAATTCCCTGAATTTCTCAGAAGATTTCGGATCGTCTCCGAATAATTCTGAAATTCTCAGAATTTCTCGGAGTCTATGTTAAGATCTTGGAGCTTCACTGAAATGTTTGCAACCTCGCTGATTTTTTTTATTTTGCTCAAATTCTTGGAAATTAGCCAACATTTTTGGAACTTCGCTGAAAGTTTTTGAATTTCACCAAAGATCTTGGAACTTCTCCGAAATTGGGGGTATCACTCTACACACGTATTTTGCGCCAACATTTTTCTCAGTGTGCCTCATGTGTGCCACAGGTGCTGCAGCTGTGCCGAGAGTGTCAGTCATCCTTGGGGAGGTGACTTCCTAATACGAACAATCGTCGTCTACTTCGCATAACTGGTTCCAAACGAAAACAAAGCCATACGCAACGATGGATTGTTGATGTTTGGAACCAAATTCAAATATGGAAAATCAATGAACGTAAACAGGTGAGGCCCAGTATATTTGTCGTCTCTTTCGTTCTCCGGCTGATTACATATATGACGGAGTTTGACGTCACACTCCTTCAACCGCTTAAACAACGGGAAAACGAAAGAGATGACACATTCACTGAGCCTTACATATTTACATCTCATTGACGGCTGTTCAGTAGGCCGATTTGATAGCACATCCCGCCCCTGCAGTCATCAGACAGAATTTGTTTGCTTGTATAATGGTATGTTTGGCAACCCGGTTAATTGGACAGTTAACTTGAAGAAACAAAACAAGCAGTGGAATCGAGAGTGGGCCAGCGCCGGTGGTGTAGTGGTAAACGTGACTGCTTTCTCACCCCAATGGGTCTGGGTTCAATCCCAGCCAAGGTCAGTGTGATTTTTCTGAGGTATAATAATCTCTGGTTACGTTTTCCTTCGGAAGGGAAGTAAAGCCGTTGGTCCCGGCCCATGTGTGTTGAATGGGTGCGATATCCTATGCAGGTGTGGAAGCTGCCTTCCTGTACATTCGATTGCCGTCATTGGATGGCAACCGATGTCCATCGGTGATTGGCGGAACAGAGACTAGATCATAACCATCCTAACCAAGACGATGTCCCAGAGCTACTACAGCTGGACAAGCTGATACTGGACAAGCTGATATTGGACAAACTGGCGCGTCAGGAAGATCCCCTTAAGAACGTGATCGACAACATCGAAGTGCATCTGATGGCATTCGAAATCTTACTTACTTACTTATTATGGTCCGACATCCCTTAGGATTGCACCTGCATCACAATGTTACGCCAATTCACTCGGTCCATGGCTGCTTGTCTCCAATTTCTGGACCGTCCCACACTTCCAAGATTCGGATTCGAGGCAAACACCATTTTTGCGGGATTGTTGTCTGGCATTCTTAAAACGTGTCCCGCCCATCGTACCCGTCCAGCTTTCGTAACTTTCTGGATACAGAGTTCGCCATAGAGTTGCGCCAGCTCGTAGTTCATCCTTCACCTCCATACACCGTTCTCACATACCCCGCCAAAGATGGTCCTAAGCATTCGTCGTTCGAAAACACCCAGTGCTTGCAGGTCCTCCTCGAGCATCGTCCACGTCTCGTGCCCGTAGAGAACTACCGGTCTTATCAGCGTCTTGTACATGGTACATTTAGTACGAAGGTGAAGTTTACCCGACCTTAGGGTCTTGTGGAGCACGACTTCCAGCAATAATACGCCGACGAATTTCTCTGCTGCAGTTGTTATCCGACGTCTCCAATGATCCGAGGTACACAAATTCATCCACCACCTCGAACTCATCTCCGTCGATTGTCATGCTTCTGCCTATGCGAGCCCTATCGCGCTCGGTTCCTCCAGCTAACAGATACTTTGTCTTCGACGTATTCACCTTTAATCCAATCTTCTCTGCTTCACGTTTCAGTGTAGTGTACTGCTCCGCCACGGCCTGAAACGTTCTTCCGACAATGTCCGCGTCGTCAGCGAAGCAGATGAACTGGCTGGACTTATTGAAGATCGTGCCCCGCATGTTAAAGCCCGCACGTTTCATAACACCTTCTAGCGCAATGTTGAACAGGAGGCAGGAGAGACCATTGCTTTACCATTGTCGAGGTCCTTTGCGAGTTTCAAACGAGTCCGATAACGCACCCGATATCTTCACGCAGCACTGTACACCATCCATCGTAGCCCTGA